GACATATATATAGGTATGTCTGTGCAAACTGATGCGCAGTTACACGTATGTGTATTGATACATATATATATATATATAAATGTATATTAATATATATAATATATATATATATATATATATATATATATATACATACATACACATATGTGTATATATACATATGTATGTGTCAGCCTCTGTGTCCGTACGCTTGATGTCAGACGCCTGTCTGTCCCTCTTGCTGATTCCAACATGCGAAGGATGAGGACATCACTCTCTCTCTCTCTCTCTTTCTGTCTTTGTCACCCTCCCTCCCTCCCTCCCCCCCTTGAACCACCAGCGCATCGAAAACATCAGGACGGAAGTATTTCGCAAATCCCACCCTTGTGGGCGAATCTGGTCTAGAGATATTTTCTGCTCCTCTTCCAGAACCCTCTTCTCTTCGAGGAAGGTTACCCTCCCACCCCCCTCTCTGAAGGTCTTTGGGGTGGGCGCGAGGTGTCAGGGGGTTCTCTGCCGCCCAAGATGGTTCCAAGAGGGTCCCCGTTGGTCCCAGATGGCATCCAAGGAGGCTCAAGATAACCGAATATGGTCCTAGATAACTTCCGCAGTACTTCCACGAGTCCCGACGCGAGCCACGAGGACATGATCTTATAATGATTGTTTCAATCCCTGCGTGTGCCCTCGATGTCGTTTCTCCGGGACGAAACTCTAGGTCCGCGGAGGTGGTCGAGACCGCTGGCGCCGCGGCTTGGAAACATCGTATCCTCGGGTGTCTGGGCACACCCAATGGCTGGATTCACACGTGGAACACCCGGAGGCCGCGCGCTGGATGTATACACGTACATACATGTATGTGTATATATATACAATTATAATAACAACAATAATAATAATAATAACAATAATAATCATAATGATAATAATAATAATAATACTAATAATAATAATCATTAAAAATAATAATAATAATAATAATAATAATAATAATAATAATAATAATAATAATGATAATAATAATAATAAACACATATTATACAAAACTGCTTGGGCGCTTCGCGCCATGCGCCTTGTTCCGGACGCTCCCCCAGCAAATCAATACATCATCGCTTGTTTCAGCAGGAGGGACCTCGAGGCCTGGACGGGCGACGGGCTCATTCTCTGATATCCCTGGTGCCTGCTGACACCGCGTTCGCCCGATGCGCTTGCATGCTTGTGCGCAGGAACGGGGAAGGAATGTTGTTTTTTGTTCACCTCCGAAGGTCCTTTGAGGAAGTGAGGAGCGTTCCCATGACACGCCGGAGAAATTTCAGTAACTCCGAACAAGTTGCTGTTTGGTCATTTCCTGAAGTGCCTGGAGGGCCCCAGTCACTCAGGAAGTCTTCGATCGTCGAACTTCGAATCTAGATCCATTGCCTGTCTCTCGAAATTCAAACCTCGAGCCTCAAGCGTGAAACCAAGATAGTCGAGTCAGCCCGATGTACTTCGTAGGCAAACGAAGTCTGGGCGTTTCGGGGGCTCTTTTGGGCCGTCCTGGGGCCCTCTTGGGCCGTCCTGGGGCCTTCTTGGGCCGTCTTGAGGAGCTGGGGCCCTCCAGAGGTCTCCTGAAGCCATCGAGGGCCCTCTTGGGGGCCTCCAGTGGCCTTCTTGGGGGTCTCCCATGGCGTTCGTGGGTCTGTCTTGGGAGCCTTCTGGGGACATCTTGGGCTTCTTGTGGGCAGTCTCGAGGCTCTCTGGGGCAGTCCTGGGGCCCTCTTGGGCCGTCTTCAAACCCTCTGGGGGGCCTCTTGGGCCGTCTTGGGGCGATATCGGGGGCCCATCGGGCCGTCTTGAACGCTGCGAAGGCCCAAAAAGCGGATATGCTAAACATATACATTTTCCTAGAAGGGAATGAGACGAGTTTTGCTTCTTCGGGGCTCTCTGAACGGCCTCTTGGGGCGTCTTCGGGGGCTCTTGGGCCGTCGTCAGACCATCGAGGTTCCTCTTGGAGCACTCTTGTGCTGTCTTGGGTCTCTCTTGCGCCTCTCCGATGACCCCTCTGATCGCCTTGAGTCTGCTCGCAAGGCCCGGCAAGGCGCCCTGGGAGGCCCGGAAGGGCCAGCGGACCCTTTCCAAGAGTGTCCAGGGGGCGTGGAGACGTCCGAACGGGCGTCCTGGGTGCCCCTTGGGGGGGGGTCCGGTTTTGGGGGGGGCGTGGGGGGTGGGGTGTCTGCGTAATTAGACTGTATGAATCGGAATATTCCACGGATCGCCCCTCTTCGGGTTGATGAGAATGCTAGATCCATTACTCACGGGTGAAATCGCTGCTTCAGAAAAGCGGTCGTGATGTCCAGTGCCGTCACTTCCATATATATATATATATATATATATGTATGTGGATATATGTGTGCACACATTTACATGTATTTATGTATGTATGTATGTATGTATGCATGCATGCATGCATGCATGCATGCATGCATGCATGCATGCATGCATGCTTACACAGATGTACATATAAGTGCATATAAATACGCATGTTGAGTACAACATGCTTAAATTGCGATGTGGGGCCATGCTATACATGTATATATTCATACATGTGTGCACGTATAGTTGCATACATGTATCCTTACGTACATACATACATACATACATACAGACAGACAGACAGACAGACACAGAGACAGACAGACAGGCAGGCAGACAGACAGACAGACAGACATACATACATACACACGTACATACAGACATACATACATACATGCATATACATACATACATACATACAGACAGACAGACATACATACATACATAACATTACATTACATTACATTACATACATACATATATGCATACATGCATGCATGCATGCATGCATGCATGCATGCATACATACATGCATGCATACATACATACATATATACACCAATACATGCATGCATGCATGCATATGTACATACATGCACACACATACATATATATATATATATATATATATATATATATATGCATACATACATACATACATGCATGCATGCATGCATACATACATACATACATACATACATACATACATACATACATGCATACATACATACATACATACATACATACATACATACACATGCTCATTTTCCTACATGCTTGCCAGCCAGGGGGGCGGGAAAAAACGCCCCCCCGCCCCCAAAACGGGACCACCAGATCTAGGGCTTTGGGGCCCCCCTGGACTCCCTTCGAAGAGTTCCCCCAGCCTTGCCGCGCCTCTCAGGGCGCCTTGCCCGGCTTTGCCTAGCAGACCCGAAGCGATCAGAGAATTGTTCGAAGAGGCGCAGGAGAGCCCAAGACAGCGCAAGACGGCCTCAAGACGGCCCACAAGGCCTCCAAGACTGCCCAGGAGGCCCCCAAGGCCCCTCAAGATGCCTTCAGGAGGTTCCCCAGGGGGCAAAAATCTTCCCATGCCCTTTGGGGCACGTAAATTGTTAGCTTATCCGTTTTTTGTCGTAAAAGCGTTCACGACGGTCGAAGAAGCTTTCGAGATCGTCCCAAGAAGGCCCACGAGGCCCCCAAGAGGGCTTCAAGACAGCCCAAGAAGGGCCCCAAGACTGTCCCAAGACGGCCCAAAAGAAGCTCACGAGACCCCCAAAGGGAAGGGCCAGCGGACCTTCTCCAAGGGCGCCCAGGGAGCCGCCGAGACGTCCGAAAGGGCGTCCGGGGCGTCCCTGGGCGGGGGGGTCCAGTTTAGGGAGGGGGGGGGGTCCGGGTAATAAAAACATAAGAGTAGGAAAACGTGTGTGCGTGTGTGAAAAAGCGGGGTGTCTGGCCATAGCAGGGCGCCGAAAAAACATGCGGCCACTTGCGTATCCAACTGCCGCCCAGGCAGGCCGCGTCACGTGGAAGGATGTGAAACATGAGCGGCCAGGAAGGCCTTGCGGGTTTTGGGGTGGGCCCTGGACGATGTTGGCTGTCCTGAGGGGGCTCTATGAAAAGGAGGAGGAGGAGGCGGAGGAGGGGGAGGCGGGACGATGACTGGGAGGAGGAAACATTGGCATGGAGCCAAAGAACCTCCCCTCCCCGACGGCCGTCTCACTCACTCCCACCCGCCCTCCCACCACATAAGTAGCACCCGAGTCTCCGCATGGGCAGAAGCCGTTATCGACCATAATCGGGGGCCGAAGGAGACGCCAGCCAGGAACGCGACGCCCGCGAGGTTCGCCGCGCGTGCCAAAGCACCCCCACCGCTCATGTCAAATCATTATGAAAAATGAATCGCGGAGCGCCCACGCATGATCAACATGTTGCCGAACAATGTGTGTTCGTGCTGTCTTGGTTCGACAAGGATGATCGGCCTGCCCGCAGCAAGCAATATGCTGGCCCCCATTCACCCTTGCCAACAAGAACGCGAAATCATCGCGTGGTGCCCGCGAATGATTTCGATGTTGCCGCTTTCAAATCGGGATGTAAAAGGGGGTGATCATGGTTCCAACCAAGTTTTCCCCGGTCAAGTGGGGGTGTGTACCAACGTTTTTCTGACGGTCCCAGTGCCCGCTGAGGGCCCCCAAGAGCAAGCATGTGGCAAAACACGCAACACCCATCCCGTTTCTCTCAGGACCCCTTCCCGTCATATCGGAAGGAGGAAGAACGCGTTTGTTTTCATAATGTGTCGCGATAGCGGCCATTACCGGCCCTGGCCTCCCTTCCGCCACGTAATGTCACTTCGTGCTGACGTCCGAGCCGTCTTGGGCTGTTGCTAGACATGCCCAGACGTCGCTGGCGCGAAACGTGACCTCACCTGCCTCCTCCCCCTCCTCCCCCCCAGGTAACGCCCGTCATCGCCAGGAAGACATATGTTGTTTGTCTTATGTCTCTCTCTCTCTCTCTTTTCTCTCTCTCTCTCTCTCTCTCCCTCGACTGCTGAGTAGTAGGAGGAGGAGGAAAAGGAGGAGGAGGAAGAGAAGGAGGAGGAAAAGGAGGAGGAGAGGAGGAGGAGGAGGACGACGACGACGACGAGAAGGAGGAGCCCCATCCCCCTGGCGAGGCACCAGATCTGCAGGGACTGGAGGAAGCTGCCCAGAAGCGACTCCTCCCCGGGGAGGCGGCCGACGATGCGCAGGCCTCGGGGACACCGCCGCCACGGAGGGGGGCGAGGGGGGCCAGAGGCAGAAGAGGGGGGGAGGGATGGGAAGGGAGACCCTGACATCCTCGCATTGCGAAGGGGAGGGGGGCAGGGGAGCATTTCCTGTGGTTCTCGGATGTATTTTTGCCTCGGGATGCTCTCCGGCAACTGCGCCTCGTCGAGAGCTTTCCGGGGAAGCCCGAATCGTCCCGAGGGGCCGCTGGAGGCCCGAAACGAAGTTTGGGCCGAGCTATGGCCGAAAAACCGACCCCCGCGTCGTGAAGAAATCAAGACGGGAGGTTCTCAGAAACTTCGGCCTCCCTTTGCCCTTGCTGGGCCCCAGGATGAAAAGCCTGTCCCCGGGAAGGGGACCAGTCCTCTGGGGAGCCACGTTGCGAACAATAAATTGGGGAAGTCGAAACGTACCGATACCGTTACTCCCCAGACCTCTCCGGGGGTGCGTTCTGACCAGAATTTCGAGGCGAATCCAGCGGTGGCGACGAGGGCAGCCGAGGAGGCCCAAAAAGAGGAAAACGGGCAGAGGGTAGAGGTATGTGTACCTTTTCTACTCTGATCAATTAGTAGGTGGAAAGGAGAGGGGGGAGGGGGAGGGGGGGAGAGTTAGGGAGCGCGGGCACGTGCACGCCGTCGAGGCAGCGTGCCACGCTGCAGCTTACGCAGTTTAAGCGACAAGGGGGCTGACCAGCTGCTGATGCAGCTGGGATCCATGCAGGGCACACTGTGATCATGTGGCAAGCCCACTTCGCAAAGGATCATCGAGAATGTAAAAGAACTGTCGGCGAATTGGCGGTGTGGCTTGACATACGCACCGAGCGCGTAGGCACGACACCCGTGGGATTACCAGCAGGTGGCTAACGAGGCTTCGCCACGAGTCTAGGTCGTGACAGGGCAAGCCAAGGTGCATCGCCCTTCGAGGCTTCCAGGAAAAACATGACCAGTAAAATTGGAGCCACCAACGATTACGCATCCTCCACCTCCTCATCATCACCATCACCATCACCATCATCATTACCAGCATCATCATCATCATCATCATCATCATCATCATCATCATCATCATCATCATCATCATCATCATCATCAGCATCATCATCATCATCATCATCATCATCATCATCATCATCATCATCATCATCATCATCATCATCATCATCATCATCATCATCATCATCATCATCATCATCATCATCATCATCATCATCATCATCATCATCATCATCATCATCATCATCATCATCATCATCATCATCATCATCATCATCATCATCATCATCATCATCATCATCATCATCATCATCATCATCATCGTCATCATCATCATCATCATCATCATCATCATCATCATCATCTTCGTCGTCGTCGTCGCCGTCGTCGTCATCGGCAGCATCGGTATCAGCATCAGCATCGGTAGAGGCCACGGACACCTTCAGTGCTCTCACTCCACCTGGTAGCGGGCGGGAGGCCCCCCACCCCCCACGCCCCCCCCAAACCGGACACACACACCCAAGGGGCACCCAGGACTCCCTTTCGAACGTCTCGACGCCCCCTGGACGCCCTTGGAAAGGGTCCGATGGCCCTTCCGGGTCTCCCAGGGCGTCTTGCCGGGCCAAGCGAGCAGACTCAAGGCGACCAGAAGGGTCATCGGACAGGCGCACGAGAGACCCAAGACAGCACAAGAGCGCTCCAAGAAGAACCTCGATGGTCTGAAGACGGCCGAAGAAGCTCCCATGACGCCCCAAGAAGGCGTTAAGAGAGCCCCGAGGAAGCAAACATCGCCCCACTCCCTTCGGAAAATGTATGTTTATTGTTTAGCTTCGCAGCGTCCAAGACGGGCCGATGGGCCCCCGATATCGCCCCAAAACGGCCCAAGAGGTCAACCTGAAGGTTTGAAGACGACCCTAGAGGGCCTCAAGACTGCACCAGAGAGCCCCGAGACTGGCCACAAGAAGCCCAAGATGCCCCCAGAAGGCCCCCAAGAGAGACCCACGAAAACTATGGGAGACCCCCAAGAAGACCACTGGAAGCCCCCAAGAGAGCCAGCCCTAGATGGCTTCAGAAGGCATCTGGAGGGCCCCGGCTCCCCAAAACGGCCCAAGAAGGCCCCAGGACGGCCCAAGTGGGCCCCAGGACGGCCCAAAAGAACCCCAAAAACGCCCAGACGGCATTCTCCTACGAAGTACATCGAGCTGACCCGAAGATCCTGGTTTCACGCCTGAGGCTCGAGGTTTGATACTCCTCGATCGAGTGAGACAGGTCTCCCCCCCATCCTCCCCCCTTCTGCCTCCTCAGCCCCCCTTCATCCCTGCTCCCTTCCCGTTCCCCGTTCATGGACAAGTGCCATCGCAACAGTTTGATGCTTTGTCGTTTGCCAGCACCTTCGCGCGAAAAAAAAAAAAACATCATTCATTCCCCACTCCTGCGCACAAGCGTGCAAACGCATCGGGCGAACGCGGTGTCAGCAGACACCCGGGATATCAGAAAAATGAGCCGGTCGCCCGTCCAGGCCTCGAGGTCCCCCTGCTCAAGCACGCGATGATTGAATGCTTTGCTGGGGAAGCGTCCGGAACGAGGCGCATGGCGCGAAGCGCCTGTGCAGTCTTGTGTATATATATATATATATATATGTATAACCATCTGTATTCATATATACACACACATACATACATACATACATACATACATACATACATACATACATACATACATACATACATACATAAATACATACATACATACAGACAGACAGACAGACAGACAGACATACATACATCGGAGGTGAGGGGGTGAGATCGAAGTGGAACGGAGAGCCCCCCTACCGGGAAATCGATTTCGGTTTCGTGTTCGTGCGTGCCGTGCGGGCGAGGCGAAGCTGCGTGGGCGGGCGAGAGAAAGTCTCCTGTGGCTGAGGCGCGGCCGGACCAAATGTCTCCCTTCCGGGCGGCTGGTGGCCCGCGGTGTCCCGCCGGTGTCCCGCTGGTGTCCCGTGTGGCTGAGGCGCGGCTGGACCCCGGGCGGCCGGTGGCCCGCGGTGTCCCGCCGGTGTCCCGCCGGTGTCCCGTCGGTGTCCCGATGATGATGATGATGATGATGATGATGATGATGATGATGACGACGACGACGATGACGATGACGGTGACGATCACGATGATGATGATGATGATGATGTTGATGATGTTGATGATGATGGTGATGGTGGAGATGATGATGGTGTTCCGATGATGATGATGATGATGATGATGATGATGATGATGATGTTGACGATGTCGGTGATGATGGTGATGGTGGTGATGATGATGGTGTCCCGATGATGATGTTGATGATGATGTTGCTGATGATGATGGTGTCCCGATGATGATGAAGATGTTGATGATCCTGATGATGTTGATGATCGATGCTCATGATGATGAAGATGATGATGATGATGAGGATGAGGATGAGGAAGAGGAAGAGGATGAGGTTGATGATGATGCTGTTAATGGTGATGGTGTCCCGATGATGATGATGACGTTGATGATGATGATGACGATGATGGTGTCCCGATGATGATGATGATGAGGTTGATGATGAGGATGATGAGGTGATGCTGATGATTTTGATGATGGTGGCCCGATGATGCTGAGGATGCTGATGTTGATGATGATAATGGTGTCCCGATGATGATGATGATGATGTTGCTGAGGATGATGGCGTCGCGATGCTGATGATGTTGATGATGTTGTTCATGATGATGATGATGATGAGATGATGATGATGATGATGATGATGGTGTTCCGATGATGACTATGATGGTGTCCCGATGATGATGATGTTGATGATGACGATGGTGACGATGATGGTGTCCCGGTAATGATGATGACGATGATGATGATGATGACGATGATGATGATGATGGTGGTGGTGATGTTGATGTTGATGATCATGATGATGAGGTGATGATGATGATGGTGTCCCGATGATGATGAAATGATGATGATGATGATGATGATGATGATGATGATGATGATGACGTTGATGACGATGATGTTCATGATGATGCTGATTGTGAGATCGATGGTGATATCGATAATGAGATCGATAGTGCGACCGAATGTGAGATCGATTGTGAGATCGATCGTGAGATCGATAGTGAGATCGATTGTCAGATCGATAGTCAGATCGATTCTGAGATCGATCGAATGAAATAAATCGAGTGAGATCGATGGTGAGATCGATCGAGTGAGATCGATCGAGCGAGACCGATAGTGAGATCGTGAGATCGATAGTGAGACCGATCGAGTGAGACGTTGGTTCCTCCCCCCCCGAACCTCCTTATCACCCGAAGGGTGGTCGTATAGGTACATATATATACGTGTGTGTTTAGATCCTTCTTCCATATACACACACACACCAACTGCCAGGCCTCTGTACAAAACATAGAAGCCCACGTGGGGCCCAGGTGTGGTCCACGCAAGGCCCACGCCGGGCCACGGTAGCGGTTTGGGGTTGGCCAATAGAGGGTCAGCGATTAGCGGTTAGCGGTTAGCGGCGACGACGAACGGCGGTCAGCCCACAGTCGAGGGTGCAATTTCGCGTCACCTCCCCCCCTCTCCCTCCCCATAATCAATCTGCTCCTCTCCCTCCAGCCCATCTTCCTTCCCGCCCATGCCAGGAAAAATTGGAGACACGTTCTCTGCACTACCGCTGAAGGAGCAAACTCTGCAACAAACGCCTAGGAGCCACTTCGCATGACCCCCCATCCGCCCCCCAGCTTTGGTATTAAACAAGCGGTCCTTCTAGAAGTGGGGCCGAGAAAATCTTGAGCCCATCATCTCGGACGCAATGCCTGCCAATGTTCAAGGCCAGGGTGTGGATGGGGCAATGTGTTTGTTTCTATATCGGGGGCTGTTGTTGCAAACTTCTCCTGCAGCCGTATGAAGAAGCAACTTGGAGGGAGGGCTTATTCTTTACACTGGCCCTCCTCCCTCTCCTCCTCCGCCCTCTCCTCCTCGTCCTCCTCCTCCTCCTCCCTCCTCCTCCCTCCTCCCTCCCCTCCCTCTCTTCTCCCTCCCTCTCCCCCTCCTTCCCTCCCCCTCGCCAGGCCACCCCCAGAGGCTCGGGCGCGCGTTCATCGGCTGGGTGTTGAAGGCCTGCCGGGCGGGCGCAGAGATGGGAGGGGAGGGGGCGGCGGGCGCGCGGCCGACGTTTTTTGGTCTGCGGGTCGAGAGCGAGCCTCTTCCGGTGAAAAGCCAGGCGGGCTACGCAAAGAACTACTTGGGGAGACAGAGCACAGGCGGGCGGGGCGGGCCTCAGGCGGCCGGAGGGCGGGCCGGGGTGCAACGTCCCAACAAGAACACACGAGCACGGAGAAGCCTCTCTCTCTCGGGTGCGCCGCACAGGAAGGGGGCCAGGAAGAGGGGGCCTAGCACGGCATGGCCCGAGGCACATGCGCGGACGAGGGGGGGCAGGGCACGCCTTGAAACAATTTGAAGAAGAAGGAGAAGAAGAAGAATTGTAATGATAATAAAGAATAATAATAATTCAAATGATAATAGTAAGAATGATAATTTCGATCATAAAAAGATTAATGATACTAGTAGTCGTAATAATAATTAGTAATAGTAATAATGATGATGATGATGATGATGATGATGATGATGATGATGATGATGATGATGATGATGACCATAGTAATACTGATACGAATACTCACATTACTAATACCAATAATAATGATAATAATAGTGGTAGTAATAATAATGATAATAGGCATACGAATAACAATAATAGTACGAGTGATTCTAACAATGGTAGTAGTAATAATAATAATGATACTACTAGCAATAATAATAGTAGTAGTAGTAGTAGTAATAGTAGTAGTAGTAGTAGTAGTAGTAGTAGTAGTAGTAGTAGTAGTAGTAGTAGTAGTAGTAGTAGTAGTAGAAGTAGTAAGAAGAAGAAGAAGAAGAAGAAGAAGAAGAAGAAGAAGACGCGGGCGCCAAGAAATCAAGGAGACCTCAAGGCCCCAGCCATGAACTCCGCCATGATCTCCCAGCCATGATCTCCGTCCGACCCTCACCGTCACAGGCCTCCAGAGGGGCCCCGCCTGGGCCTCCAGGGGCCGTCGAGGCGATCGAGGAGGGCGGGGAGCTCGCCGAGCAGCGCCCCCCCCCCCCGCGCCCTGGCGAGGCCACGGCGGAGAGGCCCCTCCCCGGGGCCGTGCCCGGGCGCGGCGCCGCCGAGACGAGGCTCGGGTTGGGTCGGGCCTGTCCCCCTAGACCGATCGGCCACACGCAGGGAGTGACCCCGGGGGAGGAGGAGGAAGAGGAGGAGGGGGAAGAGGAGGAGGAGGAGGAGGAGGAGGGGGAAGAGGAGGAAGAGGAGGAGGAGGAGGAGGAAGAGGAGAGGGAGAAGGAGGAAGAAGAGGAGGAGGGGGGAGGAGGGGAGGGAGGAGGAGAGGAGGAGGGAGGAGGAGGAGGAGGAGGAGAGGAGAGGAAGAGGAAGGAGGAGGAGAGGAGGAGGAGGAGGAGGAGGGAGGAGGGGGAGGAGGCTTCTTGGAGGCCGCGGGGGGGGGTCAACATACAGGCGCGCAAGGCGCCACTGCCGCCTCGCGCTCGGCGATCGGGGGGCCCCGTTGGGCCCGCACCGAAGGTCATTCCAGCGAAAGGCCACTCGCACGTCTGGCCGAGCCGATGCCGCCACTCCGCAGACCGAGGGCCCCCAGGGTGCGTCCGTCCAGAACTCCAAAGGAGAGTCCAGCCGTGGTGGCGAGGGCTCTCCAGCACGGGCAGCGGGTTCCCCCTGAGCATCGTTTACCGATCCCTATCTCCACAGGCGTGGCCTGGGCCTCACTGGCCGATTCACCCCCGAGATCGGGGTATAATCGGTTCCCTTCGGGCTTCGAGGGGGCATCTTCACAACTGGGGTGGTGGGATGGTGGGGATCGGGATGGGCGTGGGAATTCGGAATGGGGCTAGGTATCGGTGAAACGATACTCATCCCCTGACCTCCGCCCATACGATTCGTGGCATCTGCGGCCCCGGAGGTCCCGATCCCCTCGTCCCGGAGCACCGTGTGCTGGCCCTGGGGCCCCGAAGGCAGCCACCCGAGGGCCGACACCCACGAGAGCACCCAGGCTGGCAAGGCCACGTCGTCGGAGATCGGGGCCTCGGGGCTCGGCCGCAGAGCGGGCCGGACCTCCATCCCCGAGGGCCGAAGGCTACAGTCGGACCCAGGACAGGAGAACACCAGTCCATAGCATGGGAGAGCCTCCGCCGGCCACCGTGACGAGCACTCGAGGCTACCCTCCCCCCAGGACACACACGAGAACATCCAACGAGCACGAAGAGCAGCAGGGCACCCTCCCCGAACCGACCTCGAAGGACAGGACGGGACGGGACAGGACAGGACAGCGCTGCGGTGCTCCCGCGCCCGTCGCCCTGAAGGGCTGTCGGGCTGGCTAGGTGAAACGACGGCACGATCAGCCTGCAAGCGTGCGAGTGCATCCAAGTGTCCCGCATGCGTCCCACAAGAGGAGGAGGAGGAGGAGGAGGAAGAGGAGGAGGAGGAAGAGAAGGAGGAGGAGGAGGAGGAGGAAGAGAAACAGGAGGAGAGGGAGAAGGAGGAAGAAGAGGAGGAGGACCCTGAGATCCACGCGTCGCATGTTTCACATGGGACGATTTCGCCTGGGCTCCGACGCCCTTGCAATGGTCTGCTTCGAAAGGTGCCGCAAAAAGATTGGGTGATGTCGCACGGTGTTGAGATTGTTTCGCGGCGTCCGATCTCGGCGTGGGAGGATGGTCTCCTTGAGCTTGCTTAAGAGGGGGAAGAGGCTGCGCCGTGTGGCCCAGCGTGACTCTCCGCGGGAAGGCGGGGCTGTCTCCAGGGGGGGCACGACGAATCAGAGAGCGATGTCGTCCGTGGAGAGGCGAGGCAGCATCATCAAGGTCGTCGGCGATCGCCTCGCAGGAGGTGCATGGCACGTGAGTCAGAGAGCAGAGAGCATGCATGGACCATCGGGGGGGGGACCAGGAGGAGGAGGAGGAGGAGCAGCAGCAGCAGCAGCAGCAGCCCACGCCTCTGAGGGGCGCTCAGTCCACATTCCTTACTAAGGCGCGCTCGCCGCACCGCCCGCGGCCCCCGCGGGGCCCGATCTCAGGGACTCCTCGAAGGCGCCCACGTGGTCAACTAAGTCGTTGTGAAAGTCGACCCCAGTCACCGCTGTGTCGACGACGGCGCCAGGGCCGCCCGTAGGTACTGCCGAGGACAAAGACGCGGCAGCGAGCGCCACCGTGTGCACGTCGATCTCGGGGCTGTCGCCCTCCATCATTTCAAGCTCCATCAGGAGGGTGCGAGAGTTGCCAGGCTGAACAGCATTCCCCCACTCGGACTAGCAATATCCACGCGTTCCCCTGAGGACAGTGTATCTTGAACCAAAATGATTACGCAGGAGGATGAGGAGATAGAGTGGAGTTCAACATGGCTGAGGAGGAAGCGGAGGAGGAAGGTATAGTGGGAAGGAACGGTATGGGTCCCTTCGGGATGCGAATCTGGAACCAGAGAAGGAGGAGGAGGAGGAGGAGGAGGAGGAGGAGGAGGAGGAGCAGAAGGAGGAATAGAGGAAGCGGAGGAGGAGGAGGACGAGGAGGGAGAGGGGGAGGCAGGCCACGTGCGTTCGCGCTACATCTGACATCCGACCCCTCCCACCCATCCCTTCCAAACGCGCTGTCGTTTCTGTGTCCGCCGACGGGTGCTATAGCGGACTTGGAACCCCCGCAAGGACCCCACAACCACAGAAAGAGCTGCGCACGCACTTTGGAGCAGGAGGTGGCGGATGAGCAGAAACATGAGCAGAGGAGGAGGAGGAGGAGGAGGAGGAGGAGGAGGAAGAGGAGGCGGAGGAAGAGGAGGAGGGGGAAGAGGAAAGATGAGAACAAGCATGAGCAGCAGCAGCAGCAGCAGGAGCAGGCGTGGGAGAAGCGGGAGGAGCAGGATGACCAGGGGAAGGCGGGGGAGGGGAAAGGAGCGGGACGACTAAGATGAGGAAACACTCGGATCCAGAAAAGTGGCCCGCGCTGCGGCGGGAGCACCATCTGACCGATGTCATCAAAGTTCTGATCCTGAAATGACGCAAGCACTGCAGCGGGAATACCATTTGGAGACACCGAAAACGTTCCGACAGACGAACCAGATAAGAAACTGCAACTTTCGAATTCCACTGTAAAGCAGCAAGCAGTACGCGGAGGGATGCGGGCCACCTCCTGGCCATGCTCGGGGGAGGTAGGAGAATAGCTTGCAGAATGGCAGGCTGTAGTAGAGGGGAGGGGGGGTGCAGGGGGAGGGCGAGAGGAAGGATGGGGAGAAGGGAGCAGAGGAGTGCTCCACGTTGCCCGACAAGCGCAGACACACGTGCCTCCCCGTCCAGCGGCGCGCTCCAGCCCCCCGCCCGCGGCGGGGACACCCCACCCCACGCAGCCTGTCCTCCGTACGTGGGGTGCCTCTGAAGCCCCCCCAACAAACTCCATCCTCGAGCCTCCCTCCTCGTCCAGCCAGACATCCTTCCACTCCTGACCGCATCCTGCAAACCTCGGCGGAGAGAGGGTCAGAATTCTGAAGGATGTCTGCAGGCGGGTGAGCTCCTACAACAGGGGTGTCAGATACAATACCCCAGCGTCGCTTGGACACGCAGGAGTAGGCTCCGGTGGCTACTTACGGGAAGGATGCCGTCAATCCTCTCCCCGCGTCAATCATGCCCCAAACGGCTCTTAATCCATCCAGAAGACGTAGGCCAGCTTTTCATACTCCGTGATTGTCGACGACCCCGGGGCTGGGAAGCAACCCCCAGGAGCAAAAGCTGCTCGACACATCGGCCGCCGCATCGCTTGCGCGCCACGCCCGGATCCGAGGGGGGGGGAAGGGGGGGGAGGCAAGCGGGCGGGGCGGCGAGAGGCGGACGCAGGACGACGAGACCTGAACATACCCACGGCCCCTGGCAAGGCCGACCCTGGCCAGAGGCGCCGAACATGCGCCCGATTCCAGAACAAAGTCGGGGATGGACAGACCTCCCTTTAGTAAAACGTGGTTTAGTGAAAACGACCTGAGGCCCAAACCTGGCGGGCGCAAGCCTGGAAAATGACGGCCACGGCGCCCTCTCGAGAACCGAAAACGGACAATTCACTAATCGACGTGTCACTGTTGGGGGTTCTGTCCACCCCCGACAAAGGATCTTGGGCACCTGCCGGCTTCTGCCGGCGCAGCCGCCGAAGGCCTCAGGCTTCCGCCGGCCTTCTGCCGCTCTCCGCCGAGGGCGAGAGGGGCGCGCCGGCGGCGGGAGCTTCTCTTCGGGGGCGACGACGGGGGCGAATAGCCCAGGGGGGAGCCCCCCCCCCCTCCTCATCCCCCTCCTCCTCCTCATCCTCCTCCTCTTCATCATCCTCCTCCCCCCCCATCCTCCTCCTCTTTCCAGGGGCGCCGATGATCTGCGTCTTCGGCGAGGCTCCCGGGCGAATGCGTGTAATGCCCGCCCCTGGGCCATTCGCCCTTATCTTCGCCGCCGATTCCTGGAGCGCGCCATGTTGAAGGGGCCCTGGGACACACAAATAAATACACACAAATAACAGGATTCCCCATACTTCCCCAAATTTCCTGGGTTTTTGTCTTCCCCCCCACTTCCAATATTTTGCATGATTTTCTGGGGAATCGTCGATTAGTTGTGTCTGTGTGTTTCTTTCCATCCTGAATGTATAAGATCTCGTCTACCGGCGGCCAGAGCGGAGCCTGCAGGAACCCCTCCAGGCTGGCGCGCTCGCACACGAGCCTCTGCTGGTGCATCTTGGGGTCGCTGTAGAAGCGGGCCGGGGAGGGGTCCTGGGGCGCGTGCGGCGCAGACTGTGCCCTCTTACTCCTCCTCCTCCTCCTCCTCCTCCTCCTCCTCCTCCTCCTCCTCCTCCTCCTCCTCCTCGTCCTCCTCCTCCTCCTCCTCCTCCCCCTCCTCCTCCTCCTCCTTATCCTCCTCCTCCTCCTCCTCCTCACCACCACCCCACCACCATCACCACCCACCTCACCATCACCATCACCATCACCACCATCATCATCATCATCATCCTCATCATCATCATCATCATCATCATCATCATCATCATATCATCATCATCACCTCATCAGCATCAGCATCAGCATCAGCATCAGCATCATCATCAGCATCAGCATCAGCATCATCATCATCATCAGCAGCAGCAGCAGCATCCATCATCATCATCATCATCACCACCACCACCACCATCATCATCATCATCATCAGCATCAGCATCATCATCATCATCATCATCATCATCATCATCATCATCATCATCATCATCATCATCATCCTCAGCATCATCCTCATCATCATCATCATCAACGACATCAGCATCGTCATCATCATCAGCATCATCATCATCAGCAGCATCATCATCAGCAGCAGCATCGTCATCGTCATCGTCGTCATCACCATCGTCACCATCATCGTCCTGATCATCATCGGCAGCATCAGGAGCATCAGCATCAGCATCACCATGATCAGCATCATGATCATCATCATCATCATCATCATCATCATCAACGACATCAGCATCATCAGCAGAAGCAACATCCGTTTCATCACCACCACCATCATTAGCATCATCAGCATCAGCATTGGCATCATCATCATAATCATCATCAGCATCGTCATCTTCAGATTCATCATCATCATCATCATCATCATCATCATCATCATCATCAGCATCAGCATCAGCATCAGCATCATCATCATCATCATCAGGAGCATCATCATCAGCCACACCATCATCAGCAGCATCATCATCGTCATTATCCTCATCGTCGCAATCAGCATCAGCATCGTCATCGTACTCATACTCACCATCAGCAACCACATCATCGTCCTTGCCAGCATCAGCAGCAGCAGCAACATCATCATCATCAATAACCGCCGAACTCATCATCACCACCACCACCATCAGCAGCATCAGCATCGGCATCATCATCATCATCATCGTCATGTTTGCTGTCGTTGATGTACGTATCCTCTCATACACCGCCGTGGTCATCGCCAACAACCACATCATCAGCAGCAGCATCACTATCAGCAGAAACAACCACCACGAAATCATGCTCATACTCATCACTAGCATCAACGTCATAGTCGTCATCCTCAGCTGCATCACGACATCGTCATGGTCGCCAACGTGGTCATCATCATCGTCAGAGCCATCGCCTGCGTCGTCGTCATCGCGATCGTCGTCGTCGCCATCGCCATCGCCATCAATGTCGCCATCGTCGTCCTCGGCATCGTCATCGCGATGGTCATCCTCACCATCACCATCTCAATCATCATCGCCATCATCGTCACCATCGCCACCGCCACAGACTTCCCACGCCCCTCATCATCCTCAAGCTCACGCCTCGCCCCTGCCCGCTCCCTACCTGAACGAACGGCCGCCCGCGAGCTTCTGCAGCGCACAGGCGGCGCCGCCTGCTTGGACCTGACCTCGCCTGGTCTCCCACCTCCGTTCCGATGCCGTCGAGAGCCAGCCGATGATTCTCAGAACGTGTTTCAGCGCCCACGTGTGCTGCTCCACCAAAGCCCTTCAATTCGACGCAGGCGGTGCAGGGAGTGCCGGCACAGGCTGCCTGCTAGCGGTGAAGCTGAGGGGGGTGAACACGTGTTCAGGCGGCCTCTCGCGGGGCCGGGAGGAGGCGCGGGGGCCACAGGAGAGGACACAAGACCCTTCCGAGGGCTGAATAGCCATAGGAATTTAGAAGACACTGGTCGCGAGACACAGGACACACGGGTACCATTGACTTGGCAGGGTCGACCTACTAATCAGGGCCGCCTGCAAATGGGGGAGGACTGGTGCACTTCTCGTGCCCGAGAGGCTCCCTTTTGGGCCCTACAGGGCCCCTTTCAGGGGCCTGAAAGGGCCCCTTTTCGGCAGCCATCGCCGCCCCCAAATCTATCGGCTGCCGCGCACTGGGGCGGGCGCGGCCTGGCCGCCCATGGGCCGCCGCCGGGGTCCTTCGAGAACTGGTATATGCTGAGGCAGCTGACCAGCACCTCGGCCCGGCGACTGCTGCGGGGACGGCCAGGACTGGTGCGGCTGCGGGTGGCGTTCAGACCCTGGGGCACGGAGCGCTCCAGAGGCGCCGCTGGAGGCGCCGCCAGGGCGCCGATACAGCCTTGGACTACTCGGGGGACCCGTTGAGGTCAACCACGGCTACCTGGAGGGGCTGCCTGTGCGCGACCCGAAGCCTTACGAGGCAAAACCAGAAGACGATCGGTTCTGCCATGGGGACTGATCAACCTCGGACTGCTGAACCTCACTCTGACCGCGTAGGGTTAGGTCGGGTCTGTCCCCCTACAGGGGGATTTTCGACGAAAAACGAAAAATACCCCCAAAATACCCCAAGAAGGTCAAAAAATACTCAAAAGATAATCCCCAGGAGGTATTCTTTATTTTTCGTCGAAAATCCCCCTGTGGGGGGACAGGCCCGACATAAGCGTAGGGCTTCGCTGCGTCTGCTGCCCAGGCCCCAGCCTACGGCAGGCCGCTTCTGCACGCATGCAGCCAGCGCCAGGCACGATGGCCGTGCCGACCCCTCCACCTTCGAAACCCACTCAGCACGACCAGCACATCCTTAGAGGGCCAGATGCAAACCCTACCCATACCCCCCACAATTTCTGAGGGGGAGGGGGGGGTCACTTCGCTCGGGAGCTCCCGAACGAAGTGAACCCCACCCTCCCCCTCAGAAATCGGGGGGTAGGGGTAGGGTTCGCATGTGGACCTTCGAAACCCATTCAGCACGACCAGCACATCCTGATGCCGAGCGGACACGGGATCGAAGGCACTCGGCCGCCAAGCGGGCCCAATCTGAATGGAGAATTCTCCTCCATGGCGCAAATCATTGCTTCGATTAATGAAGCAACTGTGCGTACACTGCACAGAGCGGCAACGTGACCTCACAACTGCACGAGGGGGCAAAGGTCAAGGGTCGTCAGATGTTCTGGGCAACGCTGGCCGTTCTGCTTGCTCCAGTTCGCGATCATGACACGCACTAGAAAACTGTTTGCACCGGCCGACCCTCTCAGTCCGCTCCACCCTCCTGAAGGATTTGATCGAACAATCTGCTCACAGCCACCAGTTGAGCAGGAGTGGCCTCATCGGAACTCAGAGCAGGATCTCAGAACCGTGGGCCCGCGCTTCGGGAACATGGCGCTCCCGAAGCGCTGAGCCCACCGTCCTGAGGCGCTGACGCCGTCAGCTGAAGCCGCCAACTCCCGAGCGCGACGCCGTGCATCCGAAGGCCCCTATCAGCAGTGCCAGCGTCACCGCGTCCTGCGCCTCGATGCGCCGGCGCAGATCCGCCGCGGCTGGCTGCCAGCCGCTCCCAGGGCGCTGCCCGTCAAGTGGGCCCGCCGCCACCACAGGCCCCCCCCCCCACACCGTTGCCTGCCGCCCGTAGCGTGGCGGGTCGAGCGCGTGTGGGCTGGGGCCCCTGGCAGCGCGGGGGCAGGGCGGGGGGAGGGGGGCGGCCTCGTGAGAGGGGCAGGGGGGGCTCGAGACTGCGTCTTGTTTCCGGCAACGGTCGCCACCCTGGGGTGGGAAGGGTGGAGGCCCCAGGTAACGGTAATGCTTGGGCGGGGTGGGGCACGTCGGGGCAGGGGTACGCTGCGATCGCCACAGCTTGCGCGCGAACACCTGCATGTAGAGGGGGTCCAGGCTTACGTAACGATCGCAACCGTAACCCGTCACGCGCCAGAGGATGAAAAGCGATCCAATCTCTTCTGGCAAGGGGCTTGCCCCCCCTGGAGAGCCGTGCGTTCGGTACGAGGCGAGCGGCTACTCCCGAGGTAAGGCTCCAGGCTGCGCACAGCCCCACCCCAGGTAGTCCCAGCTGGCCTCAACAGACCGCCCGAGGTAGCCATGGCTGGCCTCAGCAGGCCCCCCGAGTAGCCCAGGATGGTCTCAAGGGCGCCGCCGGAAACGGCGCCAGGGTGTTGAGACCGTCCCGGGCTACTCGGGGGGCTTGCTGAGGCCAGCCTGGACTACTCGGGAAGCCCGTTGAGGCCAACTGAGACTACCTAGGGGGTGGGGTCTCTCCGTGCGCAACCCGAAGCCTTACCAGCCCCGGGAACTCGACAACGACCAAAAGCCTCCAAGGCCCGCTCCCCTGAGGCCCCCTTTGCAGTGGCAGCAGAGGCATCAAGAGAAGGGTCGAGAAGTAGGAGCCATGTGCACCTTAGCATACCTGATCGGACAAGAACGGGAAGCGCCGCTGTAGTCTAATGGGCGTACTGGGCGAAGAAGAGGAGGAAGGCGAGGACAAAGAGGAGTCGATGACGAGGACGAGTCGAGAGGTAGGAGCCATGTGCACCTGTACCATAATTTGTGCCAGTGGCCGTGGCCGCCCAGACCAGCGCAACTCCCGGCGATGAAGCGAGGGCACGATCCCTGGACAAACTGCGACCCCCGGGCGGGCACGGGCGCCCCGTCCTCCCCAGTGGGACGCTGCTGTACGTGCTGTGCTCCCTATCTGGGTAGTCGAAGCCAATCTGGCGCCAATCTGGCAGGCCCAATCTGGCAAACGGGGGCAATCTGGCGAGGGAGCCAACGCGAATCCAGTCTGGCGAATAACCCAAATCATCCAGTTTGGCCGGGCCAGATTGGCCCTTGGGGCCCAATCCAATCTGACAGTCTGGCCTTCGACTACCCAGCCTATGCGAAAACCCTGCAACGAAACGCTACGAACAAAAACTATACACAGACACCCGCCGACGATGTTCTCATGCGCCTTCGGGGAGGGTGGCGGTGAACAAAGCTGGCCCACGGTGGGGATTTACACGCAGCCACCCCACGCGGAGGCCCAAGAACAACCCTCCAAGGTTGTGTCTGTGTCGAACTGTTCGTGGCGGACTTCTGCGCCCCGCAGGCCCCCTGCAGCGGAGGATGGGGGCGGGGGAATCCGCCGACCCCTTGTGGGCTCTCGGCGTGTGAGATTCTACCCCCAGCCGAACTCACCAGGGGGGGCCCAGCCCTCCACGAGCGGGTACGGCTCTCCCCGGGACCCCCTTGTTGCCCAAAATGGCACCCTCTCGCTTGCATCTGCGTTGCCAGCACCCTGGACGCCCCCAAAAACCATAGGACACACTCCACACTCAGGGCGGTCGGCGGGTGTGGCGCAAGCCTACAGAATGACCAGTCGGCATCGGATCGGGATTTTCGGTTCGGATCGGGACGTGCGTCGGATCGGCCCGCATCGGCACGGCGTCGAGGTCGAGTCTGATCGGCCGAGCCCCGGTTCACAACCACGCCGTGCGAGCATCGGGCCGCATCGGATCGCTGGCGAGCCGAGATTGCATCGGATTGGGCCCCACGAGCGCCAAATCGAATCGGATCGATCGAATCAGAATGAGCCCTGGGTAACGGGCAACGGGGGTATGGCGACCAGTCCCTGACTTTGTAAGGCTTCCGGCTGGACCAGACACAGTAGGGGCCCAACACGCGGACATACGATGGCGGGGCGTCCATTCTCGATAGGGGTGCGTCTGAATAGCTCCCCGGGGGGTATCCCGAGTTCCCCATCTTCCCTGAGCGGCTAAATTTTTGGAGGGAGGGGCTTGGGGCTTCGGGGAGAGAGATCGCCTGCGAGAATTGCCCCTGGGCTGGGGCGAACAGGAGGAGGAGGAGGAGGTGGAGGAGGAGGAGGAGGAGGAGGAGGAGGAGGAGGAGGAATGTGATAGGGATGTGGCAAAAGCAGCAGGGAGGAAGGACGGAGGAGAAGAGGAGGGACCCAAGAAGAGCACGTTTTGGGCAGTGTTCCGCAGCTGAAGCCCCTTTCGGCACCCGCCCCCTCGTCCCTGGACAGCAGCTCGTACGGGGGCAGGTAGGAGGAGAGGAGGCGGGTAGTAGAGGCCTCCAAGATGGGGTCCGAATAGATGGGGCCAGAGGATCGCGCCGCATCGCCGATGCATCGGCGTGGAGAAAGTCGGTATCCGTATCGAGCCGCATCGCCGATACATTGGCGATGCGCCTCGATCCTCCAACCCCTTCTGCTCTGACCGCACCTGGGAGGCCTACAGGTAGGAGGCAGGTAGGAGGAGGGGAGGCGGGTAGGAGGAGGAGGAGGAGGAGGAGGAGGAGGAGAGGAGTGGATTATGATGAGGAGGTGTAGAAGGATAGGGTGCAATCGTCGAAATAGTATAATGCAGCAGTATCAAGTAGTAATTGCACTAGCACTGTATTAATATGTACTAAGGGTGTTTCCGTAGTGGCTCCAGTCGCAGTAAATTCTCCGAAGCAGCAGGAGAAGGCGACGGAGGAGCAGGAGGAGAAGCAGGAGGAGGAGGAGGAGGAGAACGAGGAGGAGGAGGTAGATAGAGCGGCATTGGGGGGCAAGGCAGTGCATTCGGCCGCAAGGATAAGCCCCCGCCGTCGCCGCTCAGAGCGGCACCTTCATTGTGATCACGGCGCCACGTACGCCAACCACCTTGCCGAACGAGGCGTAGTCGTATCGGCCATCCATATTCTCATACTCGTAGTCATAGCCCTGCCCTCCACGTAGCCAGCTCGTCCTCCATGACTATCCTTAATTGGTTGATCCGTCTTCGCCGTAGCTCCCACTTGGATCAGCGCGCTGTGGTTGCTGTCCTTTGTGTTGCACTGCTGCTTCTGCTCCTCTTGCGGAACCTCCTCGGCCGCGGCGACGGTCCTGGGCCCCTGCACGAGATACCGTGTGAACTTCGCGTGGTAGCTGTCATCGCACTTGCTGAGCTTCAGGTGTTTCACTTTGTAAGGGTCTGTCTCCACAGTGAACTGGTCCACTAACTTCCCGTGCTCTGTGAGACTGCTCTTAGTATTGTCGCCCACGTCCGCGGGGCAGGGGGACGAAGCGAGCGAGAGTCCCTTGCCCGCCTCCTTGCGCTTGTCCGCGTAGATCTTCCTGCAGGCATGGAGCGCCTTGATCCCCTCGGACTGAGCCGACATCAGATACGTGCTGTAGACGGCGAAAACGACCCAGGCGATCTGCTGAGTGTTGAACATCACTTGCTTGATCATCCCCGTGAGCGACTTCTTCAGCTTGAGGTCGCCCTTGACCTGGTAGGCTTCTCCTCCGCGTTGTTGGCGCGCGGGGTATTCGCGACACCGATGAAGCCAGCGGCCGCGAGCCTGAGGAGGTGGAAGTGGCCACAGCTTGGACTTGAAGCCGACGCGGTACGCGTGGTTGAGGACTGGCTCGAAGCTCTCCTGCGCGAGAAGGGGCTCGGCGAGCTCGTCATCGTAGCCCACGCCAGTCGACTTCGGCTGCTGCTTGGTGAAGCAGGTGGGCTGGAAGGTAATCTGGAAGATCTCGGCGGGCAGTATCCAGTCTGGCACGGGGGCGCACTTCTTGAAGTACTTGAGCCGCTTGGTGACGCCGTAGATAGCTCGCTTGATGCCGCCCTTGGCGTCCTCTTGTTCCTGGCGAACTTGTAGGTTGTGCTCTGTGGTGAACTCGTGGAAGGTCTCTTTCGAGATGCGCTACTCCTCCTCGAGGTCGAGCTGGCGAGCACTAAACCCTCCGTGCTGGCCGTCTGCTGCAATGTGAACTACCCACTCCTGCACACTGGGGCGTGCTCTGGTCGCGCGGCTGTAGTTGCGGTTGCGCTTGCCGTATTTGGAGCTGGCCATGATGCGAGACTGTTGGAGAACTTCGGCGTGTTCTCTGCGTTGCCTAGCCTCGTAGGTGCGCTCCTCGAGGTGTTGACGTCTTGCTTCGAGCTGGCGCTGCTGCTTCTTGAGGGCTCGCGGGAGGACCTCGATGTGGTACTCGATCTCGTAGTTGGGGTCGGTCCCGAAGTACGCCTCTCTGAGCTTGGTGCACGCCTGGGGTAGCCGCAGACGTTCGTCCTTGAGCTGGTTGTACTGTTCGAGCTTGGACTTCGGGCGCTCGAAGACGGGCACGGCTGCCTCCTTCATGAGGACCGCGAGGAGCCTCACGAGCTCGTCCACTGTGTCGTCCCCGACCAACTTCTCCAGCTTGTCCTGGTGCTTGCCGAAGTAGAACTCCGTCTCGTCATTGAACTCCTTGTGGTACTTGCCCTTCTGCAGAGCCAGGGCCGTCTTGTCGTAGTCCCAGGTGGTCCTCTTTAAGTCGATGAACACAGTCGGGATGATGACGTTGGCGGCTGCATTCGGTAGGACAAGGTCGCGCGGCACGTTGTAATTGAGGAGTTGGGGGGCCTTTATCATTCGCCACCAGACTCTGCAAGAGGTATTGTGGTAGCATATACCGCGAGGCACTGCAATGTAGTCGAGACTTGTGGCCTGCCATTGGGCACTGAAGTACGTGACCCCCGCTTTCCAGGAATTGTTCAGGATGCACCTACCGTGCACGTCGAGCGTGTAGTGGAT